TTCTCCTTACATGAGGCCATTTCTATGTAATTGAAAAAGGCATTGAATAGTGCAGTGGATAATGGCTTACGTGGCTGTTGTCCCCATCCCTGAACTACTTTAGCACACATTGGACTCAGCTGTGATTCAGTTCTCCTGTTTCCTTTTGTGTGAGCTCTAGCGACCTGGTGTTTCAGCCCTGCTGGTGAGCCAAGCCCTCAGTCCATTGGAGACTGTGCGGTTCAAGGAGAGCGATTGCTCTCGCCTCAGGGAGACATGATTTTCAGTCCTGACTGTGCCACTCATATATTTATGTTCTTTGGCAGTTACTTAACCTCCTTGAGCCTTACTTTTCTCATCAGCAAAGTGGGCATGATACTCTCGACATCAGTATATTGTTGATGGTTGAAGAGAACAATCTCGGGAAAAGACGTATTACAGCTCCAGGCTCACAGAAGCACCCAGTGAATGTTCCTGAAGACGAGAATGCTCCTTGCCAGTGGCTATGCTGAAATTTACATCCTGGGCTTTGAGCACTGCCTTGGGTCCCTGTAGTTAAATTTTCAGAGCCTAGCCCTGTCACGAATTGTACAAACATGCCCGTTATAATGCAGACTGATTTGGTTGCAGGCAATACAAACCAGCTCTGGTGCAGTTAAGCAAAAAAGAGAATTTATTCATGGGATGGTAAGGAGTATCTCAGAGAACTGAAGGAAAATCTGAACATCTGGACCTGGAAAATATAGGGACAGGGGTCAGGTCTAGGATAAACTTGGCTGCCCCTCTAGGGCACCACAGTCAGGATGAGTAAGCTCTAGAAAGTTTTTCTCCATGTGTCATTCCATTCACATGGCCAAGAGAGTGCCTGATGGGTCTGGGGTAAGCACACAACTCAGGCTTGCCCAGTCAGGGCACTTCCGAACCACACAGCTGCTGTAGAAACCGTCACATTGATATATTACACACTGTATGCTGTGTTCATTTGTATGTCCTTAAAAGATTGATTAAGCACCTAAACTGTGCCTTGTGCTGGGGTTTGAGCTATAAAAGGCCAATTCCTACCCTTGTGTAGTTCACACTCTAAGAGTGACTGAGTTAGATAGGAGCTTCTGGTTCTGGAGTGTTCCACTAAATAATATGCAGAAGGGGAGAGTGGTTCTCCAAAGGAAAACTGAGGCTTTATTTAGCAGAAGAGTGAGACTGGCTGCTAGCAGGAAAAAGCAACGGCTGTTCCAATACCCCTAAGTAGCATATGAACCCATCTTTCTGAGCCTTACTTTCCTCTTCTGTAAAATGGGCGTGATAATCATGCCCACCACATAGGGTAATTTTGAGGAGTAAATGGATTGACATATGTAGGGTATTGAGAGTAGTGCCTAGGGCATAAAATGTGCTTCTTTAAATGTTAGCTCCCATCATCACCATCATCATCATCACCATCGTCATTGCGCCAAGCTCATGATCTACTATTCCTTCCTCTTTTTTTTTTAAGATTTTATTTATTTATTTGACAGAGAGAGACACAGTGAGAGCAGGAACACAAGCAGGGGGAGTGGGAGAGGGAGAAGCAGGCTTCCTGCTGAGCAGGGAGCCCGATGCGGGACTCGATCCCAGGACCCTGGGAACATGGCCTGAGCTGAAGGCAGACGCTTAACGGCTGAGCCACCCAGGTGCCCCTCTACTATTCCTTCTTACATGTTGTTTTCATAATGGAGCCCTGAGAAGTGGTAAACTCCTGGTCATGCCCCCAAACCCCTGGGCAATAGGACTCTGTGAGCAGTAATAAGAAGAGGGAAAATTTGGCAACCTCTCCTGCAATCACATAGCCCATGCCTTCTTGTACTTCCCCTTTGACTGGGGATCTGCAGCCTGTAAGTGTTAATTTAAAGTGAACTCTCTAAATGGCAACTTGGGCAGGCTTCTGGCTGTGCAGACAGAGAGCCCTTCTGCAAAAAGGTTCCAGGCCGGTGGCTTTGGTCCAGCCCTAGCCCTGCACATACATACTCATAACCCAGAACTCACTGAAAGTGATTGAAATGCAAGTTTGTGTTGAGCTGAGATGCTAAATTCAGGATTGGGAGCATATGGATCGCCCCATATTTGTTTTCTGCATATCTGATGTTAGCAATTTAGAACATCACTGGGACGTTCCCTGGAGAATTTCAGTTCTGTAAATGAAACAATTATTTTGGCAGTTTGGGAAAGAAATATTCATAACTTTCATGGTATTTAAAGGGGAAATACACCTTCCCCGAGTCCCTTTTTCCCCTGCCAGATAGGAAGAATGAAATTAGCGTGCCGAGGGAATAGATGGCATAAATAGAAAAATTGACAGCGTGTTGCATTCACAATTGGATTTCTAGGATTGACAGGGAGACAGGAAGTAAAAGGGTTTCTCCAAATCTGGGCACAGAGAAGTTGTAGAGAACACCATGCCTGGGGCGTGATGTTCATTCATTCAATCATAAGGTATCTAGCAGCAGCTTTGATGCGCTCCTGCTAAGGTCTGAGGGGAGAAGGACCCATGTTTGTCCTTGGTAACTGTTAAGCATCTACAGTGCTATATAACAGGATTCTTGGCTTGCAAGTAACTGAAAGCAACTTAGAGCAAGCTTAAAGGGAAAAGAGAAAATTATTCTAATTATGAAGGTGTATCTCATGGAACTCAAGTGAGGGGAATCCTACAGGTGAGAATGGGACCTGGCCCCAGGGACTAAAATGTCGAGACTCAGGCAGTCCCCTCTGTGTCTACTGCATTCTCACTCAATTCTTCTGAGCCTCCTGCTTTTCCCTTTTTCTTGGTTCACATAGCAGAAAATGCCTAGCCCACAGCTTCTGAGTTCTTCGATCCCTCCACATTTGAGATACCATCCAGAGAGAAGAGAATCTCTTTGTTTCAAGTCTCAGTGTCTGGGAGGGAAGCTGATTGGCTCAGTTTGGTCAGGCATTTACACCAGGTCCAATCAGCAATGGCCAGGGGCGGATTTATATACAACCTGTCACCCAAAGTGTGGTCCCGGATCAGCCACATCAGTCTCCCCTGGGAGTTTGTTAGAAATGTGGCCTGTCAGGCCTCCCCAAACCTACTGGATCTGAATCTACATGTTTGCAAGCTCCCCAGGTCATTGGTATGCATGGCGAGGTTCGAGAAGCTCTTTTGTAGAAACTCTGTGGCTCCCTGGCTGTCACTCTGGGCAGGAGGTGGGCAGGGCTGCTGGGAGCTGAATAAGATGGCCCAGAACCTTCCTACATCAGTGGCAAAAATGCTCAGCTCTGGAAACTACTTCCAGAGAGAAACATTAGTTCTGAAGAATATCTGTAGAGGAAAATAACTTATGCATTGATCATGATATAGATGAAATATTTCCTATCAGTGTGATGTTTCTCAGTAATCGTCTGAATCTCTCTTCTGTCCCTTTTGGACGTGGCAGGCTTCTAATAGGGGTTTTCTGATCTCACACTATGTTTGGGCAGTGCATGTACCTCAGGCCAGCCATGGGGTTGGTTGATGAATCTAGCCATGACACAATAGTCCAAAAGGGGGAATCATGTCACATATGGTGGCTCTCTAACTACTACCGATGGTGGGCTTATAGGAAATGCCCTTGGACATAGACCAAGAAGACCTGGAGTCCTGGCCTGGAATTTCCACAGCGGGTGGCGGGGCAAGGGGGAAAGTTGAAGGTGTACTATGCGTCCTGACAGTGCTAATATAAAAGACGACTACGCCTGCCTTCATGAGAGTCTTTTTTTCCCTGGGGCCATTTGCATTCTAGCAGGGACCTTCTGTCAGGGATCCTCCAGTGTGAGCCTTGGGGACCAGTTTTTAGGATGAACTTCTCTCAACATGTCTGAGTTGTTTTTTAGGAATGTAGACTTGTATTTTTTTTCCTGCCCCTAATCCTATACACTAATTAGGCTGCTCCTTCAAACCAAATCTTACAGAAAGCAAAAGGCACAAAACAGAAATAAGCAAGCAAAGTGACTCTTGTTTATATGGAGTGAAGAGCATCTTGGCTTGCCCTCCAATCCCTCTTGCCCTTTTCTCCTCAGTCCTTTCCCCCCTTTCTCCGATGTGCAAAGGACCCCAGGGAATCTGTTTGGAAACATCAGCCTAATCCAACCCGTTCATTTCATGAATGGGGACCCACCTCTCCAGTGGTGAAGTGGTGCTGTTTGTTTTACTCTAGGTCATCTAGCTTCTGAACGGGTGATTCAGGGGTCTTTCTACCACCTCAAAGAAGACATGTGGGGGATGAGTGAAGGAAGCCTTTCTCCAGAGTCTGGACCTTTAGGGAAAGCTCCCCGCCCACCAGCAGCCTTTTCCAGCATACTTAGAACGTATGGGTATCCTTCCCGGGGCTTATGGTTCTTCCCTTCTTTATCCTTGCTGAATTTTGCATGATTTACCTTCCAGATCCTTCTTTTTGCTCAATTAATTGATTACACTGGGTTTCAGACTTGAGATGATTGCAGGCACCTCAGTTTTGAACAGGCAGAGTGCGCTGTAATGAGTCACAATTGTGATGCTAAACATCCGCTCAGGCTGAACTGACCCTTTGGCTCATGCCAAAGTGAGTGACCTGGCTGGGAAGGCCACAGCTCATACCCGTCCCATTGCCCACGTGCAAGGGCAGGGGACGGCTCAGGACCTGTTGGACCTGCCTGTAGACACTGTGACAGCCCACTTAAAAAAATTATTTGTGATTTGCGCTCTGCTATCAATCGAGATTGAGAGTATTGATCCCAACTGATTGCCGAGGACCAAAATAAAGTGAAAGGGTAATTGACTGCCGTGTCCCCCATCGATCGAGCACCACAGTTCATTGCCACTGAAATTATTTTCAAGTACTTTGGTTTATCATTCCTAATAAATATAGAAATTGAGTAATCAAAATGACTTACATTCACATCGAACCAAAAGCTTTTAAGGAAGTGTCTATGTTTAAGTGAGTCCATATTCTATGCTGGTTTTGCAATCAAGGCCCCCAGGTCCATTCTGACAGCACTGGGATACAGACTGACTTCAGAAAAAAAAAACTGTCATCATCACAGAAGCAGGAATCCCAAGTACCAGCACTTTTCCAGTGATGTCCTGGTAATGGTGGCCCCTGGGATTTTAAGGAAGAACCCTCCTAAAGAGCCACACTGTCCATCTCATCCATAAAACATTTCCCTCAAAGCAGCAAGGCTTCTTTATTTCACTCCCCTAGTGCTGCTCATAAAAACACAACAGTTGTTTTGAGGTTTACAGCGATGTTAGCAGTAATGTTATTAAATCAAAGTCCTCATTAGCCGTGTACCTAGGTTGCATGGTGTTTGGTCCTATAGTACTTTAGAATCCTATTGCTGTGCAATTTTTTGAAAAGGTTGTTTTAAAGGAAAATTGAGCATCCTATGAAGCAGGTGGCTGAAAAGCAGGACTGAGGGGCTAGAATTTGCTTTGGGGAACCAGGCTCAGTAGCTCAGCACTGTCCAATAGAAAGACAGTTGTGGGCATTTCTGAAAAATGCCATGATACGCACACTCCCATAAGAAAAACTACAGGACTTAAGAAGGAAGTGGGGTTAGAGACCCAACACCCACATTTTGTCAGTGACATGTTAAAAGAAAGTTACCTCGTAAAGATAGCCCAGTTTTGCATATGTTCAATGATAGAAAATACATGCTATACTATCTATTGCACTTTACCTTAGAAAAGACCTGGCGTTTGCTTGTGGAGTTGGTGTCCACAAGCAGTAGGCTGCTGCTTATGTGTTATGAAGTGGTGGAAGGAGGTGTTTCTGAAATTGTAGCACCAGACGTGGATGCATCTGGTGCATAATGCATGTCATGAACTGAAGTAGCTGGTAGGTGTTTGAGGTCTGTATGCGTTTGAGCTTTTTGTGGATTCACACACAGCCCATTTCAGCTGGGTGTTTTCCAGGTTCACCTAGTATTCCTTGCGGGCCTAGGCAGATACAGTATCTGTAGGATGCTCAAATCATTCCTTAATGTAGCAATCATATTGGAACAAATTTACATTTTCAAAATAAGCATCACAGTAGAACTGACTATATAATATGAACCACACACGTGAGCCGTATATGCAATTTTCAGTTTCCTAATAGCCACATTTTAAAAAAGTAGAAAGAAACACATGCAATTAACAGTATATTTTCTTTAATCTGGAAGCGTCAACATATTATGTCAACACGTAGTCAATATAAAAAATTATTGAGATAATGTGTTGTATGTGTATGCTAGGTCTCTGAAATTGTGGGTGTATCTTACCCTTACAGGACTTCTCAATTCAGACTAGTAAAATTTCAAGGGCTCCATAACCATATATGGCTCACAGCTACCATATTGGACAGCAAAGGGAGAGGGGATAAAAATTTTGGACGGTGAGGCAGAGAATAAGAAGAATCTACAGTGGAAAGTGGAAATCCATGGTAGGGTGTAAGACCCCTTCGTGTTGTCCAAAGCTATAGATCAGGCCCATACTCCAGATCTTTAAATTTGTATGTTTGTGTGTATCCAAAACATATATTTAATATATATCAGGTGTATATAATATATAAAATTATATAAATATTTTTAATATATATTTATTATACATATCTATTTGGGAAAGACGGAGACTATGTTCAGAAAATAGATTCCTATGCTTAATACACATTTCAAGTCCACTTCATTTATGCCTCACTTTTTCTTTTTAAAGATATATTCATTTATTTTAGAGAGAGAGAGAGCGAGCATACTGGGGGGTTGGGGCAGAGGGAGAGAGAAACTCAAGCAGACTCCGTGCTGAGCACGGGGCTCAATCCCACGACCCCAAGATCATGAGTCAAAGCCAAGTGTCAGATGCTTAACCGACTGAGCCACCCAGGCACCCTGTGCGCCTTTTGATAACAGTCACTTAAGTGTCAAAGCACAGGGTCTGGTGGTCATACAATGTCACTTGCCTTCTTGAGTTTCTCTAGGACAAGAATCATATTTACAGATCTACTATGAATGTTTAACACATGCTTAGCATGTAGTAAGCGCTCAATTAATATTTCCTGAGTCGAGTTTAACCCATTTGTCAAGTTATCTTCTGCTGTATAGCTTAAGTTCTTGCATGGCAATATTAAAGAACTAGAAACATTAGATTAGAATTTTCTTATTTTTGGCTTGTGTCCCTCACCATCCATTTATCCCCCCATTTATTTATTAACCATTAATTGACCACTTGAGCTCATCTCTTACCCACTCTGTTTTCATACTCCATGCTTTCACCACTCCCAATTTTTCAGTTCCCCAAACACACCATGCTCTTTCCTCTTTGGCCTGTGCACGTGAACTTCTATATCTGGCTGACCCCTAGGCCCCCTACACCTTCCTTCCTCTAGAGAATTACCCTGACCTCTTCTCTGCAAGAGTTCTGAATCTCTCCACGGCACCAGTGACACCCTCTAACCATCAATGTCGTGTTATCCTTACCACTTACTTTTCTGTCTCTGGATTAGCTTATGAGCTCTGCGAGGGTACAGGATATATTTGCTGTATTTTGCCTGTGGCTTGCACACCTTCGAGGGGGAGAATTGGATACTCTTATGGTATCATGGGCAAGAGATAATGAGAGTTGGAATGAATACCGAGCACAAGATGGGTCAGATTACTAGAACGCCTGGGCTTCCGCTCTTGCAGGTTCCAAACTGAAACAGAGTAAATTTTTAAAAATGCAAATTCTACCATATCATGCCCTTGCTTAAATCCTTTCACTGGCTTCCCGTGGGTCTTTGAATAAAATCCAAACCCCTCATCCTAGCACAGAAGTCTGGCCATGGTCTGGCCTTTGCTTGCCTCTCCCCCTTTACCCTGTCCATGCTCTTCATTGGCCCTTGTACTTCACCTACTCTGACTTCCTTTCCTGTCCTTGGATATACAAGCTCTTTCTTGTGGCCAGACGTTTGCCTGTGCTGTTCCCTCTGCCTGTAATACTCTTCCTCCACCCCTAAACTCATAGATTTGGCTTATGCCCCAGGCCACAGCTCACATGTCCTCTCTTCCCCTAACCCCGTCACTTATGGTGACCTTCCCCTATGTCATCATCCTGTTTTATTTGCCTTATAAAACTCATCCCTATGGGGATTGATATTGTTCATGTATTTATCTACCTTTTTGTCTCTCTTTCCCATTAAAGCATAAACTCTTGAGAGCTGGGAACCTTCCTATCTTGTTCACAGCTACAGCCCTAGCACCTAGTATATTCATTCTTGATCATATTTTTGAATGAATGAATAAGATACTATTGTGTACGTGTGTGTGTGTGTGTGTGTGTGTATGTGTGTAATCAATTAGACATGGGTATAAGCAAGAGAAAGTTAAAGATTTCCAGCTCAGGCTGGATATTCATTATGTCTCAGTTCGAGTTCCTTCATAAATAGGCCCTGATAGAAGGATTTCAGCACAAGTGGTTTACTTGGGAGGTGAGACCAGGAAATGCTGGCAAGGTAGTGGGAGAGTGACTCAGGCTAAGGAAGTAAGCCAGTTACCAAGCTCACAGCTGCTGTGGAGAACTGGAGCTATTGCTGGGGAACTCTGGGAATCAGAGTAGAACTCTGCCTCAGGGTAATCTCTCAGAAGGGCGAGGGAGCCAACGTACAAAATCTTCTGTAGCCATTGACTGAAGGCTGTGCCTTACAGGTAAGTAATTCTCAGGTTCTCCTGGTCTGTGGACAGAGTGGGCTTCAGCTCCCACAGCAAGTGTGTGCATCACTGGAAGTTGACAGAGTAAACTGTGCTGTGTAAGGTGTAAGGAAGTGTAGACAAGACAACACCAGCATGTATTCCACATGCTGTTTCCACAAACAAGCACACCCCCCGCCCCCCCCCACCCCCCTGCACACACACACCGAAAGAGAAAATCTGAGTTGAAGATCATGAATCCAGCTTGGGGAATTTGAGCAGGAATCACCTGCAGGCTATCCAGGTGAAGATAGCCAATGGGCAGTTGCAAATGTGGGTGCAGAGCTAGGAGATCGGTTGTGACTCTGTAGCGTATTTGTCAGCTGTTGACAGATGAGGGCTTGCTAAAGCCACCAGCTTGGATGAGGTAGCCCTTGTTTACTGAGCTGCATGACTGCATTTTGCTGAAGTTGACAATTTCATACTTCTCGAAGCAGCCTTTTCATGTGTCCTTCATGATCTTGCCACGTTGTTCTTTCTCTTCTGCCTTTCCAGCCTTTGACACACACTTAGGGAGCGGATATGAAGTGGTTCAGGATATAGGTGAGAGTGAAGGAAGCAGATGTTGGTGCTACAAGTAAAGGAGGGAAATGATGGATCAAAGTTTTGGGTGAAATCAAGAACTTGGATTCAGGATTTCTCTTTAGTCAGTCAATAAATATTTTTTGGTTATGTTTCCAAGAGCTCTAAAGGCCTTGAAAAGAGCAGGGAACACGTCTTCCTATAAGAGCAGGGGAAGCAGGATGGGCACTGTCAAAGGTAAGCTGTGTCAGTAGCTACTGCCAAATAACAAGCAGCAACAAAATTTTGGTGACATTTTTTAAAAAGGCATCTATTTAGGCCACGCATGTGCAGAATGGCCATCGGTGAAGTGGCCAAGCCTGGGGCTGGCTGGGTGGGTCACCTCCACTTGTCTCCCATTCTCCTTCTGGGACCATTGGCCTAGCCTGGGCAATGTCTGAAGCACAAGAGAACATGCCCAATCTCACCAATGCCTTTTGAGCCTCTGGTCACTTCATACCGATTAATATCCCATTGGCCAAAGCAAGTTACATGGCCAAGGCCAAAATCAAGAGGCCCAACCCCATCCATGGAATCAATGAGGGTAGGAAGTGAGTATTTCTGAACAATAACCTACCACCTGAGAATAGGGGTCAGAAAGGAAAGAGATCAAGGGAGTACCCATGTGACTTCTTTCCCAAGTTATAAAGCATTATTGTCCTCTTATTCTTGAATTTTTCAAGCCCTAGGAGGGTGCCATCAGCTTGGTTGGGGGTCATGGATATGAGTGGATTAGACAGAACTGCTAACAAAGCTTGGCT